GATGGTTGTTCCATAACTGCCTTTAAAAAAACAGTCTGAGGTGGTGATGGTTGTTCTGTCACTGTTTTCAGAGGAAGAGCTGGTGGAGGAATGGAACGATTAAATTCAGGAATAATTTGACTCATTATTTTTTGCAAATTTTCTAAATGATTTTTATATTTGAGTGGAAGTCATATAAAGCTTAAGATTGTCGGGGGTAGGGGGAGGAATCGGATGGTGTATGCCTTTAGTGTAGGGGTAGGGGTAGGAAAGGTTTTAGAATCCTTTCATATTTCCAAAATCATTTTATAAATTTTCCAAAATTTTTGTATTTCCATTATTCTCAAATTAATAAAATGGTTCTCCTTATTGACGAAATTGCTAAAATTTTAAAATGTAGTGTTTCCTCACTGCGCTATCAACTCATTCACCCTTCGAATCGTGATAAAATTTTAAAACAGCTAAAGGGGAAGAAATTGAAAACAACTTATTTAGACATTAACGGAATGAGCAAAACTTTATTTTTTGACGACTTGAGTAGAAATGGAGCGAATAGTATTCTTGCTTATGGACGACTTTCATCACCTTTTAACATTAATGTTGCAGCACATTTTTATGCTCGTCATCGCATAAGACTTAATCATCCATATCATCTGTGTGTAGTCCAGAAAAATACTCATGAAGATAGATATTACCCTTTGGAATTATTAGAATTAGCGGAGGAAGAACCATTATCAGGGTGGATGGCAAATATTTTTATCGATAAAACAACTCAGTCAACTTCTCAACAATCTGAAAAAGATTTTGATGTAGCATCACCTGTACCTCTTTCCGACTACGATGATAATCTTTGTTATGGAGTAAGAAAATTTAGTCAATCGGTAGATGATTTTGAATACATGCAAGGATGGTGATTTTATACACGTAGGAAATACACACGCATACAATTTACACGCGCATTTTACCATTTTTTTGTCTATTTTTTACTAAAAAACACCAAAAAACAGTAAATTTTATCTTCTTTTCCTTAATTTTTCAAAATTGTATCTTCTATCCACTAATTATGCTATTTTACCCCATAAATCGATATCTTCCGCTTGTTAATTTTTTCAAAATAGTATTTCCCTTTTCTTAATTTTGATTTCCAAAATTAAATTTGTATCTTCTTTTCCATAATTTTTTCAAAATAGTATCTTCTATTCACTAATTTTTTAAAAATTGTATCTTCTGATCACTAATTATGCTTTTTTACCCCTAAAATCGATATCTTCCTTTCCTTAATTTTTTCAAAAAAGTATTTTCCATTGCATAATTTTTAAAAAAAAAGTATTTTCCAATTGTTAATTTTTATTTAAAAATTAATAAATATTATGAAATTTTGAAGATTTATTGGACTAACGTGTAATGATACAATAATATAAGTAAGGCAACACTGTTAACTAAGTTAGCTAATCAAGAGTTAGGTAATTAATCTATAGGTGTAGGATACTTTGCCAACTTTAAGTTTATATTTTTATGAAAAGTTTTAGAGTATTATATATTTTCCTTAAGGGCGGTGTAAATAGTTAGAAAAAATAGGTTCTTAAATCTATAGGTTTAAGAGACATGGCAACATTGAAGTTTATATTTTTTATGAAAAAGTTTTGATGTAGTATATCTATTTTTTCCTTAAGGGCTATGTAAATGGTCTATAAAAATTGGTCCTAAACGTAAAAATTTTGAATATATAAGGCTAAGTCAAGGTATGATTAAAATTTATATTTGTTGTGTTTTGCATATTTCTTCTCAATTTCAACTCGGATACGACAAGAATTAATCAATGACTTAGATTATATCCACAAGGTTCGCGCATGCAAAACACGGGCATACGAAAAACACACGCGCATATAAAGCACGTGCATTATATCCGATGATTTTAGCCTATTTTTGCATATCTTTTACTAAAAAACACCAAAAAACTGTAAAATTCATCTTCTTTTCCTTAATTTTTTCAAAATTTTATCTTCTCTTTACTAATTATGCTTTTTTACCCCTAAAATTGATATCTTTCACTTGTTAATTTTTTCAAAATAGTATTTCCTTTTTCTTAATTTTGATTTCTTAAATTTAATTTTTATCTTCTATTTCTTAATTTTTTCAAAATAGTATCTTCTCTTCCTTAATTTTTTCGAAATAGTATCTTCTAATCCTTAATTTTTCAAAATAGTATCTTCTATTCACTAATTATGTGTTTTTACCCCTAAAATAGGTATCTTCGATTCCTTAATTTTTTCAAAAAAGTATTTTCCATTCTTTAATTTTTTCAAAAAAGTATTTTCCACTCCTTAATTTTTTCAAAAAAGTATTTTCCATTTGTAAAATTTTTATTTAAAAATAAATAAATATTATGAAATATTCGAAAAATTTTTTAAATAAAGTGAAACGATAAAATATATAGCTAAGAAAAATAGTAAATAAAAATATAATTCAAAATAGATAGAGACAATATAAGGTAAAATAGATAGAGAATACAATATAAAAATTAAAGATTATTGTGATACATAGCCGAAATTTAATACAGAGAAATCGCTCGGGCAAATGATGCCCTTGCCGACAAAAGGTTTATACATTTTATGAAAGGGTTGGGAGGTAACGGAACTATTTACAACTGAAGGGCGTAAAAAATTGGGGTAGATTACACATATAGGGTCACGATCACCATTTTTAACAAAATTAATAACAGTATCTTTAAAGGTTTCATATCTTAGATTCTGATTGTTCATAACGTCATAATTAAGTGTCATTCCCCTCACCTTTAGAACATATTCATAGTCATCATTTCCATTCTTCCTTCTCAATTTCAATCCATATTGTTTTGCGCCACCACTGCAATATTCAAGAATTTCGTGCTGTGGGTATTCGTCAGTTAAATCACCAAGATGTGGCCCGAGTTCAAGTGGGTTGTTGTCTTCGGGGTGGGCGAAGATTAATGAGTCAGTATCTGAAGAATAAAAATAAATTTTGAAAAAGATTAAGAAAAAATACCAGTGTAAAGTAGTGAACAACCAGGCGTTCGTACCACTTTTTGCATCAACTTCAGGAGGTGCAAGCGTGCGGCGGAGGTTGTCCATAACGAAATCACCACATTTGAGCTATCATGTTCTTCTATCCATTCCTTCTTCTTTGAATAGCGTATCATCAATGTTTCGCTGTTTAATTCTTCAATTGCTGCAACTTCTATTGAATTGTTGTGAATGTATTCCCCGAGTTCAGCTAGATCGTCGGTGATGTGAGTTTGAGTAAATCCCTGATTTCTTAGTGAAAAACGCCCCCAAAGGTTATTTACAGCCAGTTTTGCAATTGCCCTCTTTCCTTTATTTGGTACCATCTTTTCCCTTTCTATCTTCATTCCAAACATTTCCCAACATTCTTTCACAAATTTCTCTTCTTCTTCACTATTTCCTCTTATCTTTTCATCAAAACCGGAAGCGTGGATTTTATGGGCAAGAAATTCCCGCATGTATGGACGGAAAAGCTCGTTGTCTGACTGTTTATATTCTAATACACGATATATTTTGGTGACAATATATCCTTCGTCCAGTGCTGCATTTAATTCAATGGAAGTGCACGTGCTAACCCATCCTCGTTGTCTATCACTATGTTGACAATTATAAAATTCATTTCTTCCTCCATTTGGGTACATTTTGGCACATTTTGCACATAGCGGGAAAAGTAGTCTTTCTTCATCTAATTTCACAGGAAGAATAGGAATATCAATATTTCTTGGTGGAATTACAAATACTTTTAAAAGTGCCAAAGGAAATTTGTTGTCTGCCGATGTTGTCCAATTAACTTCTTCATTTAAATTGTGGACAATAGGGTGTCCAATAGGGTAGTTTGTAATAAAATTCGTGAATGGGTAAAGCGAAGTTACATCATAATAGGATATTTTTTCTCCTTCTTTAGCTTCATGGAATAATTTAAGTGGTCCGGTGCGCCCTCCAAAAAAGCAATCTCTAATTTCCAAAGGACCTTCATCCAAATAATTATCAAACTTCTTCTTCATTTCTCTATCTCTTCTTAACATTTTTTCTATTTCACACTGCCAATAAACTTTTACTTCTGGTATTTGGGTCAAAATATATTCCATTCTTTCTTTATCTTTTTGCCGCTTCTTTCCTGCTGTAAGACCATTGGGTAGAATCATGTTGTCACGTGGATAACAATCTTTACAACCATGCCAGGCGCACCCATTAACTTCTATTCCCAACTGTTCTTCTTCTATCCACCCATCTAATTTATATTTTCCAATCACTTTTTCCCCTTTCCAGTGTGCTGTTTGAATTTCTACGTTGTTTTCCTCTCTGTACCACTGGAAGAACTTCAATGCCAAAAGACTTTGGTTGTCTACATTTTCATATCCTCTTTCAGGGACTATTGCCAGATGATCCTTTTGTAAATGATTGGTGCGGAAATGTTTCATACACGCACTTGCAATAGTCATACACTCCCTCAAAGCATCGATTCCATTATGTGATGCTCTCTTTGTTGTTTCAAAAAATTCATTTCTAAAGGCTATAAGCGCACACATTAATATTTCAACATCATTAGTACAGTAGCTTGCTAGCGCTTCATCCAATAAGAAGGGAGTGTTTTTATTTTCTTCATACCAAATATCAAATTCTCTTCTTTTGGCGGGCATCATTCCATCAGCCAAATAATCTTCTTTTGTTGGGAATATTCTTTTTCCATAGTTCTCTGGTCGGTTTGATAAATGCGGGAAAAATGGCTTGTCTTCTACTTCTAAGCCAAATGTTGGGACCAGTGCTGCTAGAGCCATAGGCATTAAATTATAGGAGTCACGAAATACAATGGTTGGATTCGAATTTGGTCGCTTCGCTACTTTCATTTCATAAAGTTTGTTGCCTTTCATAATTAATTCAGGATTTAAATTTTGGTTGTATAATTTTTCAAAGACGAGAACCATATCGAAACGTCCACCAAAGTGGGAGTAGACGTAGGTGTCGTAGTTGTTTGGAAGGTCGTATAATATCCATAGGGCAAAAGCTTCTAGAGGATTTTGTGAAATAATTTTGTGATCTGTATTTGTATCGTTGTAAGGCTGTTGTGAAAATGTAATAGTGCGGTGGGGGCCGCAGACTTTGCAAATTTTATTTTTTAAACTTCTTTTCCATTCCCCTGTTGTAATACATTTCGGGCATACTATCTTTGCTGCAATAAAGTTGGTCTCATGAATTCTCTGTTGTTTAGCTGGATTTGTAATTTTGTGCTGCATTGTCTCTAAGTCAAATGCCACTAATCGATATGGATCTCGCTGCTTGGGTTTTAGTGGTCTTATGTAGCATCCTCTTTTTGGATCATGGTAATCCCCGCATTTCCCGCAATATTTTTCAAAACAGGCATGCCCTTTGCGACCGTTTCTGTTGTTATCATGAACGTTGTAAATTTCACCACATTTTTCACATTGTTTAGAATTTTTGCAGAAGCCACTGTTTAAGTGATGTAAGTAGCAATCAATATTTTCAAAAGTTTTGCAGCAATCAAGACACTTCCTGTTATTTTAAAATTTATTAATAAAAATTAGTTAATTAAAATACTTATTAAAGTTTTCTTTTTTGCATGGGAACTTTGGTCCAATTTGAGAACATTTTAAGCAGCGGGAACAACATTTAGTACTGTGATTTTGAGGATGACTGTAAACCACTTCGCATGAAAGGCAATAAGGCTGACCAAATATATTCCCAACTTTTCGAACACCATCAAAATGCTTGTTGTCGTAATAAAGAATTATCGGCGTATCATAAATTTCAGGGCCATATTTATACTTTGGCTTGTAATTCCCAGATGATCCAAAAATAAAGACATTAAATGTAAATTTTCCATTATATTTGTTGTTCCAATAATCAACAACTGGACCAACCCAGTCCTCTGCCGCATATTCTTTTAAACCAAATGTAGCTCCAACTTCTTTAATTAACTCGTAGGTTTCCTTCTTAAATTTATTTCTAGATCCATAACGGCCATGTAAGTAATTGTAAAATTGGGAGCGGGAAAGTTCTCCTATGTTGCTAACAAGAGTTGCTTGTAATGCAAAGAAAAGGCAATGATTTTTGCCGTCAATGTTATTGATCTAAAGGATATTTTATATTTAAATTATACTTTTATTATCCTACCTTAATCAAACATTGATTATTAATTCGGTGATGTGTAGTAGCATTTTTTCGACCTCCAAGCGTTTTTTGTCTTTCTGGTAAATTTTTCATATCAAGTGTAGTTATTTTTACATCAAAAGGTTTTCCCCACAGTGTTGTTCCTTGTTGTTTTTTACTTTGACCAACTTTTAAGAAATGATTTAAAATGGAATCGACAGTGTTGTCATTAAGTTGTCTAATAGGGGTCCATACATCATGTTCAAGTAATTCGCTGCTAATAATACATCCTAAATGATCTGCCTCATACCCCTTCTCACGACTTTCTTCAATTGCTGCATCAATACAATGTTGGAATATACCAGCGAGCAGCCCTTCGGGGTCTGCGGGGACATCCTTAATTTGGAATTTCGTGTGGCATTTAGTGTAGCGGAATTTTCTATTGTGAATAACTTGTTGTTCTAGTTTTGTGATGTATTTTTCTGGATGTCCTTGGCCGGATTGCGGTAAATCAATTAATTTTGGTGTTGAAGAAAGAATATTTTCAATAAAAAATGCGCGAGAGTTTTCGGAGAAAAGCTTTGCACGTTTTGTTGGTGGAGGACTCATTATTAATAATTAGTGAAAATCGAGATATTTGAAATTGTTTCTAAATCTGTAATTATTTTATTTAATTAAAAAGAAGAGAATAAAATTATCGATTTTTTAAAAATTTGTAAATTTTATGAAATTTTATGAATGAAGTTTGAAAAATGATGGAAATTATTTATGTACGGGATAAAAAATAGATGGTATCTTAGGATAGGAAAAATGTAAGAGGAGCTAAAATTTTAGTATCATGAGCATTTCAGAGATCCTATTTAAAAAAAAAACGATTAATTAAAAATTTAATGAAAAATAGAAAAATAGAAAATAATTATGTGACCTTGTTCTATGGATAGAAAATTCTAGTAAAGATTTTAGTAAATGAAAATTAATTTGTATGATCTTATTCCTATGGATATATATCATTATTCAATGGATAGATTATTCCTTATGGATAGATGTAAAATTTTCTAGATATATTAAAAGATTTAGGGAAGGAAAGAAAAATATGAGGAAATTTGTATAAGGCTTGAAGAAAAAAATATGAGGATTAAACCAGTTAAAAATTTTAGTAAAAGGATATTAATATTCAAATATTAAGGATATGAATAAGAAGATTTATGAATTTTAAATTTAAAAAAAGAAGTAATTAATTTTAAACTTTAAAAAATATTTTTTTCCATTATTAATAAATAAAAATTTAAAAAAAATAAAAATTGTCGAATAAATTTTCAAATGATGATGGTTCTTTGCTGAGAATACTTTTTCGATGTATGTTACCCTTATTTTCGACTTTATACTATTAGACCAAAGCCACGCCCTAAAAATGACCAATTATAGTAATGCTATTGGATGCGGCTGCATATCCTTTTACTATATGTCTAAATATTTCCTATGGTAATAAATGGAAGAGCAAAAAAAATATTTAATCATTTTATCTACAAATTTTTTAACAAATAAATCTGGATTAGTTTCTCTGTCTAACATATTAATATATTCATTAAATGTACAATTTTGAGAAAGGAAAAATATAAAACATATACAGTGGTGGGCACATGTTTTGGCTAAGGGGGATTGGTAAGGGTTACAATTTCTAAGTATATATGGAAAATGACGTAGGAAATTATTAATTTTACATCCATCTTTGGGTTTTTGAATATTAAAAAGAGTTAAGCTATCGAAATAATTAATTGGTCTTTCCTTTCCTTCTGCATATATTGCCACCCAGTGAGATCCTTCTAAATTTTGGGGGTCCAAGTTTAAAATAAATGCTGCGGGGTATTGTATTGAAGAGTAGTCGGGAAGTTGGTCACACGATAGACACCCTTTGAACACTTGATTCGTTTGTGGATTTGATTCCATTATTTTTGTAATCTGTATACTGTTCATCTAATATTTTAAGTTCTATTTCTTTATTTTCTTTTTTATTTTTTCTCGAAGGGATCGTATTCCCTAACCAAACAAATGAGCGTAATTGATAAATAATTAAACTAAGCACTAGCAAAGCATAAAGAAGGAGCATTACCCAACAATAGACATGGGTATAGTAATTTTCACTTGATGAGGGTGCATCCTTACATAACTGTATAGAGGGAAAATTAGCAAAGGGACCAATAGCAGATTTCCTTGGCAAAGCCTGAGTTGTTGTTAAAATTATATGTCTGTCTGCTACTTGTCTTAAATATTCGGAATACTCGGGTAATTCTTTGATATTAACCCCTTCTTCAACAGTTAATCCACATATGGGAAGGAAAATTCTTAATATTAAAATAATAAAAGAAGCTTTTTTAGAAAACATTTTTATTTCTGTAATTAAAAAAATACAATTTGAAAAAGAGTGAATGAAAAGATAATAAAAGAAATATAAATCAAATAGTTGTATCACTGGTAATCGTTCTATTTTTATCTAGCATTATTAGTGAGTCAGCTTCACCCATCACTATAAGCATTACCCCTCCCTCTGGAATTGGTCGGCTAAATTTTATATTAACAGCTGTTGTGCCATTTTTAATTAAATCAAAAAGTCCACTTTGATCCTCGCCACTATTTGTAAGGTTAAATACAAAGATGCAATGCGTGTAGGCATATTGCTCAAAAGTTATTCCGTTGCTTTCCAGGGAATTTGAAAAACCTATAGCCTCATTCATATCATTAAAAGCACGCGCGAATTTTCCATTGGGGAAATCCAAGTCATAGGGAGCCTGGGGGTAACTTCGACCGTTTGCAATTATACTAATTTCTCTTATATTGAAGGATTGAAAATTAAAAGGACTTCTGTCGATAGCTCCCACGTAGTCATTATTTGAGACTAACCCAAGTATTATCCTCCTAGGAATTTGATCCATAAATAAATTTGCATTGAACTCGTAGCGACCTTGACTAATAAACAAGGGTTTCATCATTGTCTTCCTTATGGCATATCTTGCGGGTCGAATATCCAACTTTTTTGCTATATCTAGAGCTAACCCATCCATTATATCGACTTTCTTCACATATAGTTTACAGTTAGTTACTTCGAAACGGTAACGATTTGTTTGAGGTATTCCTGCTGCTGTTGGTGGGGCAATTAAAACAAAACGTGAATCATTGGGGAGAATTTCTATATCTATTTCACAATGGTTAATTAAATATAAGGGTTGGTTGAAAAGGTCGGCATCTATCTTTGCCATAAACTGTGCTGTATTGCTTGTCCCAAAACGTGCTTTCCTCGAATTAAATCCTATTCCTGCCTGTAAGTTTAATCCTGTGTCTCCATAATACCCCGCAACATTTAGATGGGAATTTTTTGCCGCTGTTGAAAAGCTTAATTCGTGTGAAAGGTAAGACTTGTAGGCCATTAACGAATTGGAGTTGAAAACTTCTCTTCCATTTATACTTATTCTCATATTATTAACAAATGTGTGACCAATTAATTGGATAGGGGCAACAATGTCGTTTTCGTTTAGATTTACCCATGTGCCGTTTGCCCCTTCTTTTCTTATACGGAATTCAGTAAATAAGTAGCATTTTGTGAGATCAATATAATTTTGACTAGAGTGTATTTTGAAGTGATATGGAGTATCAGTAAGGGGATTACTTGGTAGAATTTCGAAAACTTTTGATGAAGAAATGCTCACATTTGTGGGAGGAATTTGAAAAAAGTCCAATGCATTTGTAATCGAATTAATACTATCTTTATCTATTTTGTGGTATGCCATTTTTTAAGCTTTTTAATTTTAATTAATAAAGTCCGAATGCGTCTGATCTGACTCGTTTTTTGTTAACTTTTCCAATAATGATTTTATGATTTGGCTGGGAATACTTTCTTTTATCTTTTATACTTTTTCTTGGACTAACACCACTTCCAAATTGTTTTGGCATACCTCCCTTCTCGAGTAGTGTGTCTATCCCCTTCTTTCCCTCACTAGTTAGAGCGTCCTTAATATTCTCTCCTTGGTTTACTCTTTCCAACACACGCTGCCCAGTGTTTAAAGCCTCAGCTGATACAGTAGTCCCCACACGACGAACAATAGGAAGAAAAAAGCGCCAAAGTCCTCGAAGAACATCGCCTATTCCCGCACCCCCTTGTAATCCATATCCTCTTTGAAAAGGGGACGCTCCTTTGAAATAGGTAAATGTGTTTTCTAAACCGTTCCCTTCTTGAATGTTTAAAGGTGATTGAATAAAATCATCATATCCTACTGTAGAAGTATCAAATAAAATATGTACCATTTTGTTAAATTAATTTTATGAAAAAAA